ATATATATTATATATATATATTATATATATATTATTTTTAATATATATATTTATTTATATATATAATATATAATATATATGCATAGAGAGAAAGCGAGAGAGAGAGAGACAGAGAGATAGATAGATAGATAGATAGATAGATAGATAGATAGATAGATAGATAGATAGATAGATAGATAGATAGATAGATAGATAGATAGATAGATAGATAGATAGATAGATAGATAGATAGATAGATAGATAGATAGATAGATAGATAAATTATCGCCACGTCGTTTCTCTGTACATCTCACCTGGGTCGGACTGCTCAAAGCCCGCGGGCAGCACACTGTGGTCAAGCCTGGGCAACATGACGGCCCCAATGACCACAGACTTGACCAGTCGCAGCAGCGTGCTGAACACGCCCAGGAACACGTTGTAGAAGAACATGAAGTAGAAGAAGACGAACAGCGCTCTCCTATGTGAAAAAATACCAAAATATAAAAGTTTTTAAATCATAAAATCCACTCTATTGTTCCCCGTGTAAAAGTTGTTCCCGCATCCGACCCGACATTGGGGATTGCCTTGTTAGTGAGACAACTTCCCGGACCTTCGGCATAGTGTAGTAGAGTGGGCAGTTCCTTTCCACGCCGCCTTTACTTCCCCAACTCGAAGTCAGGTACCCTTTACTGCTGGGTGGGCAGGAAAGAGCGAAAAAAAACCGTGTTCGAAACGAGGCTCGAACTCGGACTTACCACTTCGGAGACAAGCGCACTGTCCGCTCCGCAATCGCACCTTCCCCGTGTACAGAACTCGAATTCTTAGCCCCGAGTAACTCACGGTTGTCAGCCTACTGTAAAAACAACGCAACTCTTGAAAAGGTTAGGGTGGTCCGTGATTCGGTGACGTCTGACCGATACCTCGTCGTCCTCCAAACCTCTGTAGAAGCTTGGAACTATTTGTTTGTTGATGATGAAGGGAGATATAAAGTTAAAATATGGACAAATTATTTATTCTCTGATCGTGTCTCCTTCATGATTGAATTGGATGTGACGATTAAAACTAAGCCTGAAAAACATTCTGTGGTTTCAAGGAACATCAAAGGAATTGACAATATTTTTTTTATTTTTTTATTTGTTGAAATCTTTAAGTGACATTAAGACATGTGTTGATTTATATAATTCCACTATTACTAGATTCTAATATTAGGGCAGTTCTTGACAAGCACACACCACTTGTAACTCGTCATCTGTGGACTAGACTGTACGCACCATGGTTTGGAGATACAGTGAAAGCGGCCAAAATCGAGAGACAATGGCTTAAAACAGGGCTCACCATCCACAGGCACATTTTTTTTAAATAAACTACGATTATGTTTCTATATTTTTAATTCAAAATCGTGTAAACAATTTATTCGGCACTTGTGGTGAACCATACTAGATCTAGTGTAAACAATTTATTCGGCACTTGTGGTGAACCATACTAGATCTAGTATGGGGTAGAGCGCTGTATAAATGCAATCTATTATTATTATTATTATTATTATTATTATTATTATTATTATTATAATTATTACTTTTAGGAAGGGTCAAAGAGACGCATCCCCCGAATTCCTGTAGCGATTTAGAACTACCCAACAAGTTTGCTAATTATATCACAGATAAAGTCTAGAATCTAAGAAATGACCTTGATAATGATGAAACATGTGGTCATGTTGATGTCAATGATCGGGTGATTCTCGATATGTACAGACCTGTTTCTCCTAGTAAGCATTTTGACCTGGACCCTGTCCCTAGTTCTCTGTTGTCTTCCTGCATTGACGAACTGATCCCATTTGTTGCTACAATCATAAATAATTCTCTAGAGTGTGGATCAGTATCCGATTCGTTTAAAATTGCTCTTGTAAAACCTTTGCTAAAGAAACAAAATCTAGATCAGAAAGACCTGTTTCAAATCTATCTTTCAGTCTAAAATCCTTGAAAAGGTTGTCCTCGAGCAGCTTCGTCATCACTTACAATAGGACAATCTGTTAGAGCCATTCCAGTCTGCCTATCGAGCTAACAACAGCACAGAAACAGAACTTCTTAAAGCCAGGAATGACAAACCTTACTGACTGTGATTCAGGAAAAGTTGTTTTGCTGATCCTTTTAGATCTATCAGCAGCTGTTAATACTATTGACCATCAAATTTAATTGCATCAGGGACTGCCCATAGTTGGCTTACGTCATCAGATCATCAGATCATGCTCCTACGTATGGGTCCCTCTGGGCTCAGTCCTCGGTCCAGTCTTGCTCACTATTTATACTCGACCACTTGTCAGGAAATACACATGTAGTTAGATATGACTTTAAGTAGCATTTCTATTAACAATGCTTACAATTTAGATGAACTTGTCCATCGTGCTGACAATTGTATTACCTCAGTTCAGAACACACATACCGAAACACGCATATAGCGGTTCCGGTCCCAAATTGCTTTTTTTTTCTTTTTTTTTCTATTACGATGTCTTATTCTTTGTATTTAAAACACGTCAATAGCGAACTTCGTGTATAATGAAAGGATTTCCACGGCCTGCTGATCTCGCTAAGTGCTTCATAGACTGCAGTAATTTCCCCCTTTTTACAAATGGTCGCTTTTAAGCACAAGGGGGCTATCCCGAAAAATGTTTTTTCGAGAAAATCGAAGGTAAAGTTGTTGCCCTTTATTCAGTTTCTTGAAAAGACAGAGAATTTTTTCTATAACCAAACAAATATACACACCAATGAAGCCACACTTCTCGTGTAGGTAGGGCAATGCCCACTTTTGGTGTAGGTCAAGATTTCTGGAAACCCCCGAAATCTGGATTAGCTCGCTTGTTCTTACCGGCCACCAAATATACCCACGCAAAATGCCCTGTTTAACTTTGTTCTCTGCAAGACGATCATTGTGAACAGATTTATTTCTTACCTGTTTGTAAAAGCGATTAGCTTGGTGTTTTTCTGGAGAAACACGAACTTTGCGAGAAGGGTTTGGACTGCATAGATGAGGATGGTCCATAACAGAATTGACCTATAGAAGAAAGAAAAAAAACATGATGGATAGTTATATCTATCTTGTCTTATTGTCAGTAAATCCTTCTCAAAAGATTAATTGATACCCCAATAATTGGATCAATTTACGCCCAATAAATTAAGAAGGGTCCTTACTTGTCCACTGTGTTGGCTTCACTGCAGTCGGAACATGTCCATCTCTGCTCCCCCCCCCCCCCCCCTTCAGGATCCATCCCAGAGTCTGTCTACTTATGGTTTCCATCATGATCTGGTGGGAGATCCGTCGGACTGGTCCACACAGATGGCTGTGTTTCCCCTCTCCTCTTCGGATCCCCTTCTCCTTCAGTCTCCCTAGAGTGTGGGAACAGCTTTCCGCCCTATTCCTCCTCAAATTTTCCCTTACAGCGGTTAGGACTGTTGGTGGGTCCAGTGTCAAATTCCCTCCCACATTTGCTTCTCCAGCTAGCTTGTCTGCTCTCTCGTTGCCGGTTACCCCCGCGTGACCCGGGCAGAAGATCCAGGCCACTCTTTCCAGGCTGCTCTCCCTGATCGTAGCCTTCCAGTCCACATACAGCATCCCTTTCTGTACCTTCTGTAGCGTGCTCATTGAGTCAGTAATGATTACTGCTCGCTGATGGTTAGTGTTCTCGATCCAGTGTAGAGCTTCACTTATGGCTTTTATCTCCATACACATACTTGATGTTGTCAGTGCAGTTGCTCCACTTTGCTCTTTCACTACTACCCCATCAACTCTGACACTGAAGGCCCAGCCCGATTTTACTCCTCTGTTGACTGATCCATCCGTGAAGATCACAGCATCTCCATGTTCGCTATGCTCTTCCAGCACTCGCTGATGGTGTTCGTGGCTTGAGTCATCCATTCTGTGCCCCTCTTTAGCCTTGATGACATCTGCCGTCCCACTTTCTTATGTAGAGGGTTCGTCTCGTCTATGCTGACTCGCAGAAAGGCTTGGACTTGTGCCAGTTTGTGCCTCTCGTCTGCACATGGGAAGTCTAGGAAGTATCTCATTGTTTCAGTTGGGGTATCTCGTGTGCACCCCAGGATTGCCCTCATTCCTTCATTTTGTAACACATCGAGTCGTTGCAGTTGCGCCTTTGATAGGGTCAAGTCAAGAGTCCGAGCCCGTACTCTACGACAGAGAGTTCCAGTGTCTGGTAGAGGATGACAAGGATTTTCTGGCTCATCTTAGCTCTGGCCATCATCTTAAGGGCTGTTAGGCCTTTTCTCGCCCTGGAGATTGTTCTCGTGATGTGATCGTTGCCAGAGAGGGTGCGATCAAACGTGATGCCCAAGTACTTCAGTGTGGGTTCCCTCTTCAGCACTTTGCCTCCAATCGAGATACTTGGCATGTCATCGTGCACTGCATGGTTATTCAGTGTACACCACAGTGCACAGGATTTGTCTGGGTGCAGTTTCCCGTTGTACGCCTCCCACCACTGTTCAAGTCTGTCGAGTTCTTCCTGTACTCTATCCGCTGTAACCTGGCGGTTCTTGCCCGGCCTGTACACTAGCACATCATCAGCAAAATTGAGTACACGTCCGGGCTCCTCCAGCTGGTTGGAAGTAATCCCTATTGTATAAACGTTGCACAGAACTGGCGAGAGTGCATGTCCCTGTGGTAAGCCTGGTGTGCAGATCCCTGAGGTAAGCCTGGTGTGCAGATCCCTGTGGCAAGCCTGGTGTGCAGATCCCTGTGGTAAGCCTGGTGTGATCTCGATATGTTGCGAAGCCCAGCAACCAAGACGTAGTGCTACATTTCGTTTGAGCAGCGCTGCCCCAATCCATTGTACTAAATGTGGATCTACCTTCAGGTTGACTAGAGTCCTCATGAGGGTGTCGTACTGAACTCGGTCGTAGACATCTTCCAGGTCAAGTGCTGCTACCAGAGTCTCTTCCCCCCGTTCGAAGCCATCATAAACGTCGGATGCAAGAGCGGCAGCATTCATCCATGTGATCTTTCCTCTTCTATAGCTGCCCAGTTCCGGCGGTAGGACGTTCTTTTCCTCCAGCTCTATTGCCAATCTGCGTGCCATGATTTTCTCCAGCAGCTTCCCAACGGTATTTTGCATGGTCACTATGCGATATGAAGCAATCTTGCTTGGGTCCTTGTCTGGCTTAGGAACTGGGGACAGGTGACTGTCCAGCCAGTCTTCAGGTATCTCCCCAGTCCACAGGCTTTCGTTTAGCCTCTCGGCTAGTGCCATTGTCTGTCCTTCCTCCATGTTCTTCATGTGGCCATAACGTACTCCGTCAGGACCAGGAGAAGTGTTGGATGCTTCTTGAATATATTTATGTAATATTTCGTGTGTCACAAATTGCAGGCAGGGTTCATCTTTGTAGTCCTGTTGGATCCTGTTGAGCAGCTGTTTTCTCTTATCCTCGTCTTTCCTGTCAGATTGTCTAAGGTATCTCCTAAACAGAGCACGGCATTTTTCTTCATCAGAGCGTATCCACAAATCATCCTCTCGTTGGAAATCAGGGATAGCTTGTTTGCTCTTCCTATTAGGCATGCACCTGTAGAAGTTCCAGAACTGATACAGGGCCCTGTCACTGTTCACGCCCCGGCAAAAGTTGTCATATGCTGGTCCTTGGCTTCTTTTGCTGCCTTATCGAATCTGAGATCTGCTAGCTTTTTCTCAGCTTTCAACTGCACGTTTGATCTGTCCCTCTCTTGTCTTCTCAGCGCCAGGAGTTTGATCTTCTACAATGCCTCAGTCTCTTCATTCCACCAGGGTGGCTGCTGTGCCACTACTCTATGCTGTATTCTGGGCGGCCTGGAGCTGTTTCGCAGTACACTGATGGGGTTGTTGCCTTCCGCGGGGTAGAAGAAGACTCGTTTCTGTCTTTGATGGTTGCTGTTTCTTCCTCGCTTTACAAACACTGTGCATGGGATGTGATCGCTGCTATAGTTGTGTAATACTCTCCATGTACAGTCTGTTGTTAGGTCTACCGAGATGAGTGCAAGGTCTATAGCACTCTCTGAGTCCCCATCTCTTGTGGCTAGTCTGGTCATGAAGGGTAGTACCTTAAAAGGTTTTGTCTAAGGTTAACAGACTTCTTGGGTTCATGTGTGAGCTCTACGCACTCTCAGCTTACATCTCTACTAACTCACAACCTACAGCTCTACTCACCCACAACCTACATCTCTACTCATCTACAACCTACATCTCTACTCACCCACAACCTACAGCTCTTCTCACCCACAACCTACATCTCTACTCACCCACAACCTACAGCTCTACTCACCCACAATCTACAGCTCTACTCACCCGCAACTTACAGCTCTACTCACCCACAACTTACATCTCTACTCACCAGCTTCTCTCGAGGAGCCGTATAAACCATCCAGTGAATCCATTCACCATCAGCCAGATAAAGATGACCACGGCACCTCCCAGAAGGATGAACAGAATGGAGTGAAAGAAAAATCCCCAGAAGACATACGTCACTTGAAAACCGCAGAACTTCAGAGCCCCAACCTGGAATAGAAAGAAGAAAAAATGAGCAGAAAAGGGATAGAAATCAATTTATCTTGAAGGTGGTTAGGCTATCTCTCTAGAGAGAGAGAGAGAGAGAGAGAGAGAGAGAGAGAGAGAGAGAGAGAGAGAGAGATAGAGAGATACACACATACGCTCACGCTCGACGAGATAGCAACCTAAAGGTCATGCGTTCGAACCCGTCAGGGGCCAGACATTGTGTCTTTGTGAAAGAAATTACGGAAATTTTCCTCACTTCACTAAGGTAGGAATGGGTACCTGGCTGTTGCCAGCGAAAGATCTTTTCAGTTTGTTAGTGGTAGAGCGCTTACTTGGCTGCTTGTACTGTATGTTTCCCATGCCAGGAAGCTGTCAATGTTTCTGGGCATCAATGGTTTGCTCGGGTAACGGTAGTTGTGAACGCATAGAGAAGGTTATAGAGAGTGGATATGCACTATATAAAAGAAGTTGTTCTTAGTAGTAGTAGTAGTAGTAGTAGTAGTAGTAGTAGTAGTAGTAGTAGTAGTAGTAGTAGTAGTAGTAGTAGTAGTAGTAGTAGTAGTAGCATCAGTAGCAGCTGCCGTAGTAGTAGTAGTAGTAGTAGCAGCAGCAGCAGCAGCAGCAGCAGCAGCAGCAGCAGCAGCAGCAGTAGTAGTAGTAGTAGTAGTAGTAGTAGTAGTAGTAGTAGTAGTAGTAGTAGTAGTAGCAGCAGCAGTAGTAGTAGTAGTACCAGCAAGGGAGCGTTTGTCAAGTCACGAGTGAGATCCTTCATCTCCCCACGATAGAGTCTTTGCATCGTCTGCCTGTGGAAAAGCACAGAAAAAACACAGCGTGGTTTTTAAAGGTTTTCTTTGTTTGTTTGTTTTAGTAAGTGTTTTACAGCACTTGCAACCTAATAAGGTCATGAAAGTGCTGAAGATTAGAGGTGTTACAAGCGAGTAACAAACACAAAAAGAAAGAGGAGAGATAAGGACGATAGATGTAATGTTTACATGAAAAATCAACACTCACACATGCGAGAACGCACAGAGAGAGAGAGAGAGAAGGGAGGGGAGGGGGGGACCGAAAGAGAGAGGGATAGAGAGGGGGAGAGAGAGGGGGGAGAGAGGGAGAGAAAGAGGGGGGAGAAGGAGTGAGAAAAGGGAGAGAGCAAGAGAAAGAGGGGGCAGTGAAACAGACAGGCAGGCTTCTAACTGGCAGAGAGGCGGGAGAGAGGAGGGGGGAGCGAGAGAGAGAAAAAGAGTAAGAGAATTTAATGAATACGAGAACCATAGAAAGAGAGAGAAAGAGAGATAGAGAGTAAGAGAAACAGAGAGAGATAGACGGGGGGGAGAGAGAGAGAGAGAGAGAGAGAGAGAGAGAGAGAGAGAGAGAGAGAGACAGAGAGAAAGAAAACGAGAGAGGGATTGAGAGAGAGCCAAATAAAGAGAGAGAAGGAAGGGGGTGGGAGAAAGTATAGATTCATGGGTCAGGGTCAGGCTTGATAGATAGATAGATAGATAGATAGATAGATAGATAGATAGATAGATAGATAGATGTGACCTAGTTTTATTTCGCTTCAACTCAAATGATCATTCCTCCCTCAGACATGACGATATGTAAGATGATTCACAAAAACATTCACGACATTCAAATGTGGCGCTTAACACGAAACGGCTTGAATGAAGGGATATTATATATCTAGCTGGGCCCCCTTTCGATAAAAAGAATGATCGGTGTATTAACATCAACTGAAAGTCATTGGATTACTATATTTACATTCTACTGGAATGGAGCGATAAATCTTGAGAGATGAAAAAAAATTAGAAGGTCAAGATCTACACTCTCAAAATAAAATGCGCCTCACGAACTATTTCCAGCACTACCTTTGTGAAGGACAGCTGCGCAGATTTGTTTCGTTTCTCAGTGTTCTCAGTGGAATAATCGCAATATGCCGAAGAAGGACGGAAACATTTTGTCAAATATATTTTTCTAAATTAAGGAAATGAATAAATCAAAAATCGAGCTCCGTCATTGGTATCTATCTATCTTTTTGCTGGTACTTTCCAACTTTCAACTCTGTAGCTGTCGTAGTTTTATGGGGAAAATGACATATGTGTTTCAAAGTTGCCAAATATATAATAGATTTTATAATAGTGGTCAGACATGGACTATCTTTGCGATAGTTCCTTCAAGCTGATCCTGTTACCCTGTTTGAAGGTGGCGTCGGTGGCCTAGTGGTTAGGCTACCAGACCCTTAATCGTGAGATTGCGGGTTCAGGGATGCGAGCCTCAGCTCGGTCCGACGTTTTCTCCTAGGAAAAGGAACTCTACATGAATCTCCAATTTCGGTCGGTCTTTTCGGAGATGGACCTTATACTCGGAGGTCCCGCCTCTTAAATGGTCGCTTTTAAGCACAAGGGGGCTATCCCGAAAAATTGCGTTTTGAGAAAATCGAAGTAAGGTTTTTTGAACCCTTGTTCAGTTTCTTGAAAAATACAAGGAGAGTTTTCTTTATAACCGAACAAATATTATACACCCCAATGAAACCAAACCTCTCCAAAAGGAAGGGCAACGCCCACTTTTGGTGTAGGTCAAGATTTCTGGAAACCCCCGAAATTTGGGTCAGCCCGCTTGTCCTTAAAAGCGACCAAATAACCAAACAGTGTTGCTACTAGGGGCGTTAAACCTCTACCCTTTCACCATTTCACCCTGTTTGAAGAAATGATGGTGTAGCTTTTGTTTACTTCTTTTTCTTTTTTCTATTTTTTCCCTGTGTTTTCTTTCATTTTTGGCTGGGGATTTTTCTTCAGTGTTTTTATTTGGTCGCTTTTACGGACAA